GATTATAAACCATCCCACTAAATTTGTATATCTATATAATTTATTAATGATAAGACAGAACGGACACTTAAAATAACAGGGTACTATCCTGTTACTTTCTTTACCCACTTTGACCACTGGATATATATAAATGTGAAAAAAGTCCTGCCTCACTTCGAGCACAGCATATATATATATATATATATATATATATATATATATATATATATATATATATATATATATATATATATATATACATGATCGTTATTAAGAAATAAAAGAACGCGGGAACTCGTAGAAGACCGTAAGGTCTTGTCGTCGAGAACCGCTAAAAAATTTTCGTGTTAATATTTCGTATTAATAAAATATTCTCAAAATAAATAAACTTTCAATAGGAATATATACTTAACATACTTGAAGATAACAAATAATTAAGAATTAAGAATTGAAAACATAAACAAATTTAAAGAAAAAAAGAAAAAGAAAAACGGTTCTGTTATAAATACATAGATGCGTTATACAGTTTTAAGATATCTTTAGCACAATTGTTAAACTTTTTGTTAAAGGTTTTGTTATACAGTTTTAAGATACCTTTAACAAAAGTGTTAAACAACTATTTACAAATTGTTAAATTATAAAATTTATTAATTCAGTGTTAAATATAAAGTTAAAAAAGAAACAAAAAATTAAAAGAATATAGATATATCATCTAATAAAAAAATGACTTTTTTAAGTTTTTGTTTGAAAGAGTGATAGCTAACTTCTTGAGAAAAGTCAAAATTCTTTAAAACTATTTTATTCCAAAGTAATGCTCCTCGAAATGAAATACAGTATTTTCCAGAATTAGTTTGATAAGCTGATTGACGAGTATTATTATCATTTCGTAAAATATACTTAGTTTTTTCTTTTTTGTTATACAAATTATGAAAAGGTACAGGAGAAATATTGTTTTTACATTTAAACATAAAACATATAACGTTAAAAATATTAAGCTCATATATATTTAAGACTTTTATTTCAATTAATAGAGGCTTGGCATGAGTAAATCAATCCTTAAAATTAATAAGGCGTGCAACATGTTTCTGTTGACGATAAAGAGGTTCCAGTTTACTTTTATTAGTACTACCCCACGCAATGTTCGCATAGTTAATGTGACAATGAATGAGCGAATAATATAGTTTAAGTAATGTATGTTTATTTAAAAAACACCTTGCTTTGTACAAAATTCCTATGCTTTTTGATATTTTATTACTCAAATTTTTTATGTGACTTTTCCATGACAAATTTTCATCAATATAAATACCAAGAAAGTTTGTAACTGTTACTTTTTTTAGAAGTATATTATCAATAAAAAGCAGTGGCATTTCATTTGGTATAAGATTTTTTTTGTGATTTGGATGGAAAAAAATCCATTTCGTTTTATCAATATTAAGAGACAGTTTATTTGTCTTAAACCAATCAGAAACTCTTACTAGTTCATTATTGATATTCTGAAATAACAATGTAATATCATTATGAGATAAAAATAAGTTCATGTCATCTGCAAACATAATCGTCATTAAATTTGAAGCTTTATGGAGATCTTTGATGTAAATAAGAAAAAGAAAAAGCCCTAATATTGATCCCTGAGGAACTTCACAGGTTATATCAAGCAAGTTTACTGGTGAAACTACATCAACGTATACAAATTGCTTTCGATTATTTAAATAGCTTTTTAACCAATTTAAAACACTTTCGTTTATACCGTAAATCTTTAGTTTATTTAAAAGAATATTGTGGTCTGTTGTATCGAAAGCTTTAGCTTTCGATACAATAGACCACAATATTCTTTTAAATCAATAAGTCAATAAAAACCTCAACTGTATATTGGGAGTTTTCAAAAGAGTTAGTAATACTTCTTGTAAACTGGAGAACTGCGTGTTCTGTCGAGTTATTTTTTTTGAATCCATATTGATTGCTATATATTAAATTGTTTACAGATAAATGATTATAAATTCTGTTGTATAAAATTCTCTCAAAGACTTTTGAAAATGCAGATAGAATAGAAATGGGACGATAGTTGCTAACATTAGTTAAATCACCTCCCTTAAATATCGGAACCACCTTTGCTATTTTTAGTTGGTTAGGAAAAATTCCTTGCCTAATAGAACAAGAAAAAAATCTTAAAAAGTAGATCTTTAATGATTTCATATGACTTAATAACAATATTTACATTGATATCATCCGCGCCTGCTGATTTGTTGGGTTTTAGCATTTTAAAAGCGCATTCAAACTCTTCAAAAGTTAGTTCAAACGAATTAAATTGCGATGTATTAGGGATAAATAGATTACTTATTGGATTAATTACTTGAGGAATTTTTTGGGATAAATTTGGTCCAACAGAAACAAAATATTTCTTCAGCTCGTTAGCTATCTCTTCTTTATCATACAAAAATTTATCATTTGATTTGATTGTTTTAGGCAATGTATATAATTATTATTTTATAAACATAACATCAAACATCAAAAATTACGAATTTCTCAGCACTAAATTTATTTTTTTAAAAAAATTTTTGACTGGATTGTTGTGACCAGCGTATATATTTATGTATATTAAGTATGCAATATAATTGCGGTATTAAAAATGCTCTTTTTATAGTAAAATTATACTTACTTTGAAAGCATGCCCTTCTCAAATGCACTGCATGATGAGTCACCAACATTTAATGACTTCTGTTTCTAAATTCAAAAGATAACACTAATGTAATTGATATGGGACAACTTAGTTTAAGTTATATTGGGCATAGGAGCAATTCATTAGTGTTTTATTCAATTTAAAAATTTTGTGTAAATTATGTTTATTTGTAAAGTGAGTATTATGTATATAATTACAGATCAAAATTTTTTATGTAATTTACCTTAATAAAAAAAAACTAAACATTTAACCATAATAAAAAAATATGCTACTTTTTGCAACATTAGTATCGAGAAATGATTGATCACATTCAAGAAACTTGGCGATAGAATCATAATTGTAAAGATCATAACTATTCTCAACTTTGAACGTTTTTTATATTTCATTATTCTTAAGATAAGTAAGTAAATGAATCAAAGACTATATATTAGTTAATTAAAAAACAATATGCTATTATAATTTATATATATATAAATTATAATAGAAAAAATATATATTACATCTTCGCTTCTAACAAGGCTGCGAACAACCACTATAAGAGTTTGGAAGTTATAGGAACAGAAAAGATTCAATATCGGTATCAATTTCAATATATTTATCAATATTAATTATTAATATTGATACATATATTGAAATTGATACAGATATTGAAATAAATAGTTAAAAACATTTAATTAATTGAGAATCGTATTAATAATTAATACGATTCTCAAGTAATTAAATGTTTAAAAATATATTTATAAATTAGCAAGAACCTTTCTATAAGTCGCTTTTCATAAGATGTATTTAAAATTCTCCTTGAATCTTTGGGAAGTTTTAAACCTTGATTTGGCAATATTTCAATAAGATCATTAACTAATGTACTGGTCCCATTATTGAATAGCTCAATGTTTTCGAGTAAAGACATTGAATTCAAAGAATTATCAGGATAATTGTTCCATGTATCATTAACAGGTTTTCCTATTGAAAAATTCAATTCTGCATGAGATGTCTAAATCTTTGAAATTGTTAGAACTTGATATAGCAATACTATACTAATAGTATATCAAGTATATATATACATAGTATAGCATATAAGCAATCTTCTAAAATTTAGCAAAAAGAAACATTACGCAAACTTTTTTAACCACAACATTAATAGCATAAAAAACACCTGGAAAGGCATTAAAGAGTTGATAAATGTTAAACAAAATAATAATAATTCCCTAACAAGCATACTTATTAACAACCAATCCTAAATTGTAAAATTATTTTTATAACTTCTTTACCACAATTGCTTCAAAATTATCCTCCGAAATTCCAAATTCTAAATTCAACTATCATGAGTACCTGACCAATCCTACTAGCAACTCTTTTTATATGCAACCAATAACGAAAGAGGAAACACTTGATTATATAAATTCCACTATTATAGAAGGGAGGAGTGTTGGACCAAACAGTCTTCCATCAAAACTTTTTAAACTGGTGTTAGCAACTCTATGTAAACCAATTAGTACCATTTTAAACAATTCATTTCGCAAAGGAACATTTCCCGATGCCTTTAAGCTATCTCAAATTATTCCGATTCACAAAAAAGGATCTACAATTGACTGCATTAACTATCGTCCAATATCTCTTCTTTCTAATGTAAGCAAAATATTTGAAAAAGTTATGCATAATAAACTATACAACTTTTTAAACCAAAATCAATGCTTATAAAATCACCAGTTTGGTTTTCGTAAAAATTATTCGACAGCTTACGCTCTTATTGAAATTACAGAAAGTATAAGAGCTGCTCTTGATAATGGCAACTTTGATTGTGGAGTTTTTATCGATTTGCAAAACGCTTTTGACACCGTAGACCATGAAATTCTCCTCTTAAAGCTTAACTAATACGGAGTACGTGGCATATCTTTGCAATGGTTCAAATCATACCTTTCTGATCGTCAACAGTTTGTAACTATAAATGGAACCAGCTCTTAAAAACGTTTTAATTGGTATACCTCAGGGATCCATATTAGGTCCTCTACTCTTTATTATCTATATTAATGATCTTAATCTTTTTATCAAGCATTCAAAAACGTGCTGATGATACTAATCTTTAATTAATAACAAACTCTCTCAAAAAACTTAATAAATATATTAATCAGGATATGGCCAGTCTTGTTCAATGGCTAAGAGCAAATAAAATCTCATTGAATACTAAAAAATCAGAAATAATTATATTTAAGACTCAAAATACTAACTGTTCTAAAAAGACTTAGAAAAATATTCCAAAATACTTGAACTTTTGATTAAGTGGTCAAAAAATGTACTTGTCTAGTAACATAACTTATCTTGGTGTTGTTTTAGATGAAAAACTTTCATTCAAAACACACATATCCGACCTTACTCTGAAGTTAAGCCGTTCGAACGGCATGTAAGCAAAAATTCGATATTACGTTAACTTTGAAACATTGCTATCTATATATCACTCAATTTTTGGTTCACATTTACGATACGCATGTCAAGTTTGGGGACAATCTAAAACTGTTTCACTTTAAAATAGAGCGTCACTTTAAAATAGAGCGGTACGGATTATTCATTTTTGTCCAAGAAATTTTCCTACTGACATCCTATATCTTACATCCAAAATTCTTTGTTTTTATGACTTAATTCAGTTCTTAAATTGTTCATTTTTCTGGGATCAACAACATGGTGTCTTTCCTACTATATTTCACAACTACTTTAATAACAGAACAACATGTGGGCATAACCTAAGATCAGTCACCAATAACAACTTAACTCTTCCACTAAAACAGACAAGTAAACATAGAATTAATTCCATTACAAACCAGTGTATCCTTTCTTGGAACTCCCTTCCGAACACCCTAAAATCTGGTCTCATCCATAGGTTCAAGAGTCTGTTCTTAAAGTCACTCCATCATTTCTACCTAAAAGGTTACGCTTAACTTTACTTTTTACTTTTCTTTATTTCTACCTTTTAACTTAATTTTTATTTTTATTATAGTTTATTATTTTATTATAATTTTATTTTTAATATTTCATTTTAAATTATAATTTACTAATTTTATCATAATTCTTGTTAAAGTATATGTGCATATATAAATGTACATTATATTAATTATGTTATAAATATTCTGAATAAATTTTTATACAATTTTACTTTTACATTATATTAATTATGTTATATATAACTAAATAAATTTTTATGCAATTTTACTTTAATTAGTTAATATTATGTTATTTAACTTCCTTTTATAACCTATTTTTTATGTGGTTTTACTTATTACATATTATTATTATTATTATTATTATTATTGTTATTACTATTTTTTATCTTATTTAGGTCATTGCGCTTTATTAGTGAATCACTATTTGCAATGACCTGTGTTTTTTGTAACATCTGTAACACGAAATATATTGTTATTGTTGTTTGTTGTATAGCATATATTCAGTTTTAAACCGTTTCTTTCATTATCTGTAAAAATTTCATTACCTGTATCAATATTACCACAATTTTCAAGTAATTGATAACAAAAGCAAAAATTAGATGGAGCGTGTTTATTAGTCGTTGTAAAAAGACTTCTTTTGTAATTGAAAAAAAACTTTATTAAAAATGCGTTACTTAAAAATTTTAAGTTTTAGTGCTTGCGTGATTTAACTGATTTTTTTTTATTTATGAAGCATTCTGGATATTTTTTGGACGAAAAAATTATTAGATACGAAAAAGACGTTCAAAAGACGTTTAGAATTTTAATGGGACGGACGGACGCGATTTGAACGTCTTTTTTACGTCCTGTGCACACTGGGA